CCAACCCCAAAACCCCAAAACCCCAAAACCCCGAATGGCAATGATTACTATTGTTAAAGGGTTATGAATTATTGTTAGAGTATGAGTTAGATTTTCATTTAAGATTTTGGGTTTGGGTTTTGTGATTAGTAATACATGAATTTTCTTCATATTGTTACCTAAAAAATGATAAATACTCTGACTAATTAGAAAGAGAAGATTTTGTGAAAGTTGGTATGTGCTGTGTACATGACTCAATCGCTATCCAGATAAGCCGGAAGCCATTCTGACCTCTTATTCCTCTTTCGAGGACATGATTACTCTTGTTTCATCTTCAGAGATCAGCGGATAGCAGTCTTAAGGATACACAGGTGACTTCCTGATCCAAGAAGTCTCGCGAGCCTTGAACACAAAACGCGAACAAGTCTCAAACTCAATCAACCCGAAGGATGAAGAGGAGTCTCCAGGTGAGAAAGCCCTGATCTTTCACACTGTCTGGCCTTGCCATCAATTGGGCACTAAGGACCGAAATCCAAAGTGCTTCAGACAAGGAATTTAATGTGAGTAGGGAAGTTTGGAGTTGTTTACTTACATTTTATTGATACAGTTATATTTGATGATAATACTTATGAAGTATAAGTTTTCTTAAAGTTATACTCAACTCTTAACTTTTTTCTCATTTAGAGTTGATGTTTTAGAGTATTATCACTCAGTGTGCATAGTTCACATATTGATTCTAGAAGAGAGAGTTAACATCATATGCAATAGATAATTTTAATAAGATTATAGAGTGAGCTATTTTTTAAAAGTCAGGTTATAGATCTGTCAACATGGGTTAACGAGGTTTCAGTTGGTTGATCCGGTTTTTTCATCATCGAAGCTCACTCTTGCAAACATGAGGGGGAACTTACCTTGAATTGCTATGATACACAAAATGCATCAGGCAAAGGTTAATGATGCAAGAGTATTATAGAGATGAATGCGGCAAGATAGTATTCTTAGCCACAACTCTCTTAGTATTAAATACTAATTATTATTTTTATTATTATTCAAATTCAAAATTCTTAGCCTTATATACTTTACGGGGTTTTGGGGTTTTGGGGTTTTGGGG